AAACTAAACATACTGTTACCATACTATCCAGCAATCGTGCTCCTTGATATTTAACCAAAGGAGTTAAAAATTTATGTCCACACAAAAACCTGCATACAGATGTTTATAGCAGCTTCATTCATAATGTCAAACCTGGAAGCAGCTAAGATGTCCTTCAGTAGGTGAAGAGATAAATACACTGGTACTGTGGTACATCTGGACAATGGAATATTATTCAGTATTCAAAAGAAAGGAGCTATCATACCGTGAAAAGACATGGAGTAACCTCAAATATTTATTATTAAGTGAAAGAAATGAGTCTGAAAAAGCTACATACTATAGGATGCCAATTCTATGACACTCTGGAAAAGGCAAAACTAAAAGAAAAAAGAAAAACAGTAAAAAGATCAGGGATTAGGGAGGAGGGATGGATGAGTTTGGGGAGCACAGAGGATTTTTAGAGCAGTGAAATCACTTTGTATGATACTATAATGATTGATAAATATCGTTATATATTCATCCAATCCACAAAATGTCCAATACCAAGAGTGAGCCCTAATGTAAACTGTGGCTTTGGTTCATGATGCTTCAATGTAGGTTCCTCAGCTGTAACAAATGTACCATTCTGGTGGAGTATGTTAATAGTGGGGGATGCTATGCAAGATTGGGGGCAGGGAATATATGGGAAATCTCTGTACGTTCTGCTCAATTTTGCTGTGAATCTAAAGCTGCTCTAAACAGTAAAGTCTATTAAAAAGTCATTAAATGAATTAATTTGTTACATTAGAAAATATTCACTTAATGCAGAAGAGACCAGCAAAGGAGGAATGAGGGAACAAAAACACATCAGGGTCAATGGCACCTCTAAGCACAAACCTGGCTCTGGGATGCTCAACAGTGTGCCTTGGGGCTCAGAGTTTTGACCTCCTGCAGACAGTTGATCTTCAAGAGACTGATGGCAAAGAGTTGTTGGGATTTAGAGCCTAGAACTTCAGACTTTCATTAGGTAGAGCTTCAAAGTACACATTCTGTGGCTGAAACTCTCTACTTTTGGTTTGGGAAGACTAGATATCATTTTTACTCTTGTTATACTGGCATATTTTATCTTTCAGAACTAAATTGATTACTACAATTTTTCCTAGTATCTCTAGTTATTATGTTCGCTATGTCAAATCTCACCTGGAAAACATGGAGCGTGCTGATATAAGCAGGATTACAATAAAATGTACATAAATAGTTCATTGATGCCAATATAATTTACTGTTTTTTCATATAAACATGATATACATGGAAACAGTTGGATTAGTGAGATCAGCTGGCTGCCATTTGCCAGCCAGTCACACCTTGGAAAAATAACACTTGGGAAGATTTTAGTTGGTGCAACACAAACCAGACAGGTCCAAACTACAAGCAACATGGTACACATCTATTACATTCGGCTCTCTTGGCATATGAAGCAAAAGTAAGGAGACTTAAGAAGTTAACAAAGGAAATAGAGCCAGAAATAAGCTTTACTTATTTTGTAGATTGCCAAGGATTAGTCCTAAATTCTATCAAGCTTTTGAATAATTAACTAAATCAAATCGCTCTGCAACTTCATCCAATATACATTCCTAAAATAAGATCAAAACGCACGTAATGACGCTTTGGAAATCACACTACTGCTAACTTTAAACCTAGATAATGAAAGTATAATTTAAGCTACACTCCCTACATTTTCTGATAAAAATTCAAAATAAATCTTAAGTCAAGAAGTATTATATCTAATGCTTCTCTTTGATATATCAAGTTTGTCATGATCATAAAAGAAAATTAGATTAGGTTGACAGGACTTATTCTTCACCTAGGTATGTTTGTTTATAAGAATCATAGTATTTCAGAGCTGAAAGGGGCTTTGAAGATCATATAGTGAAATTGTCATTATTCCCTAAGGGAGAAAAATGATTTTTAAAACTGCGTAAGTGGAAGCACCACACATTTATACGTTTGAGAATCAGTGGAAAAATAATGTTACTTTTGACTTACTCAACATAATCACAGATTGTCCATTGCAATAGACAGTTTCCATCATTATTTTTTAAGACATTTACCAAAAAGAACTTGAAACCAGCAATAGTCTAAGAAACTGTGTCGTCAGTACCTTCTTAATTCTTTGATGCTAAATTTAAATATTTTAGACCAAGACACATATTATTCATCACTAGTAATCAAATACATTAAAAGCACATAATTATTCTCCTTTTCCGAATTCTGTGTTCTTTTGACTTAATTAGTGGAAAATATCTTTGACTATGGTTTCTTTCCTCCTTTTTAATCACCTCAAAAATATTAATGTGCTAATAGATTAGCAAGGCTGAGAGATTATTTTTTATACAAAATAGCCCTTGAAGTGAGGCATATGGACCAAGATTTGAAGTTTCTGATACAAAATGGAGAACCTGTGATAAATCCAAAACAGCCACATTAAAAAAAAATTGTTTCTATACAATAAATGTGCTGAATTTAGAAACAATCAATTTCCACTTTTTTACAAGTCAGTTTACTACTTGCCTACATATATACTGTTGGCCAAAAAATCATGTTTACACCTCATTAGGAAAAACGTTTTATGAATAAAAATGCCACATGACTAAAATTTAATTTTTTTTTTTTTGTGAGGAAGATTAGACCTGAGCTAACATCGATTGCCAATCTCTCCTCTTTTTGCTTGAGGAATATTGTCCCTGAGCTAACATCTGTGCCCATCTTCCTCTATTTTGTATATGGGCCACTGCCACAGCATGGCTTAATGATCCATGCATAGGTCCAAATCTGCGAACCCCAAGCCACTGAAGCAGAGTGTGTGAACCTAACCACTACGCCACCGGGCCAGCCCCTATTTAACTTTTATAAGCAAAAGAAAAAATATAGGGGCTGGCTCGGCAGTGCAAGCGGTTAAGTGCAAGCGCTCAGCTGTGGCAGCCCGGGGTGTGCCGTTTCAGATCCCGGGCGCACACCGACGCACCGCTTGGCAAGCCATGATGTGGCGGCGTCCCATATAAAGTGGAGGAAGATGGGCATGGATGTTAGCCCAGGGCCAGTCTTCCTCAGCAAAAAAAAAAAGAGGAGGATTGGCAGATGTTAGCATAGGGCTGATCTTCCTCACAACAAAAAGAAAAAAGGAAAAAATATATATTTGTCTAAACATGGGCTAAACACTATTTCAAAAAATAATAAATAAAATATAAAAATATAAAAACAAACACTGGAGAGAAATTTGAAACAAATTCAGGAAAGGGTTTATAGTCTCACCAAATTTAACAGATTTATTAGGAAATTTCAGTTTTTGTAGCATAAACTTGCCTCTAATGCTATTTACTTTTCTCCAATAAAAGAACCCTCTGTACAGTGCTATGCTGAATCTCACTTTTCTATTGTATAGTCACTTCCTCAAAGGCTGTCTTAGCCAGGTTCCATAACTTCTCCATCATATTTGTATCATTAGAACGGTCACATTATGGAATTTACAACTCAGACTCATTCTTTTTAGAACTTTAACTTCAAACTTAATTGAGAAATGTTCTCCCCCTGGCACCATATCCCTGACGACAATTATGCCTCTGTAGGCTTGAGGTGGAAGTATTTCTTTCCAATACTTCCTCTTTCGTTATCATCTAGGTACTCGGTCCTCCACTGTTTGACTAGGAGGAGAGACAGGCAAGATTGCAAACCTCTCTGTTGTTTGTGGCTGTCTCTTGTGGGGTGATAGTGATTCCTTTCTGAAGGAGATCTAAGGCTTTGACCCACCACCGTAGTTCCTCTTGTGCTGGAGTCTTAGTCAGTTTGGGATGCTATAACAGATATAGACTAGGTGGCTTAAACAACAGACATTTATTTCTCAGTTTTGGTGGCTGGGAAGTCTGAGATCAAGCAGGCCAGCAGATGCAATGCCTGATAAGAGTCCTCTTCCTGGTTTGCAGACAGCTGCCTTCTTGCTGTGTCCTCACATGGCAGAGAGAGATTGTCTCTCTCACGTCTCTCTTTATGAGGGCACTGATCCCATTCATGAGGGCTCCACTCTGATGACTTAATTACCTCCCAAAAGTCCCACATTCAAATGGCCTCACTTTGGGAAATAGGGCTTCAACATACAAAGTCTGTGGGACATAAACATTCAATCCATAGCAGTTGGCATCTCTTATTTAGTGGGCTCTCCGAGATGGAAAAATTGTACAAAATGACTCAACACCACCTACACTTTTTGTTTACACGTATCCCAGGCAATCCGTGTATCATGGCCATGCTGAATATTGGAAATGCAGGCAACCTCCCTGCTGCTGCCCCACATCTCGGCCTCATTTATTCTCTGTAACTGTATTTTCCACTGACAATGCGTAGCACAGATGCAGATACGCGAACTTGCTGCTTAGGTAGGTGTCCAACCAGGACAACAGGAAGAAATGACTATAGCCCCTCACTGCATGTTTCCTTTTTAGTTTGGTCCTTACACTGACCATCAGGGTGGGGCAGGGGTAGGGCTGTGGGGAGATACAAAGGGGTGGGGGAGTAAGGCCAATTCTGAGACCACCCTGCAAGCCAAGAGAGAATGATATTTTTGTTTTGGTTTGTGAGGAAGATCAGCCCTGAGCTAACATCCATTGCCAATCCTCTTCTTTTTGCTGAGGAACATTGGCTCTGGGCTAACATCTGTGCCCATCTTCCTCTACTTTACATGGGACGCCGCCACAGCACGGCTTGATGAGCGGTGCATCGGTCCACCCCCAGGATCCGAACCTGCGAACCCTCGGGCCGCTGAAGCAGAGTGCACGCACTTAACCACTACGCCAGGGGGCTGGCGTCCAGAATGATTTTTAATAACAAACAGGCAAATCTACAGGTCCAATTCAAAGTTAACATTAAATAAATTAGAGGAACACTCACATGAAGAAATATTATACAAAACATTAAAACTATGAAAAATCACAAATTCTAATAATATCGTGTTATGTAAAGAAAATGATCCAAAACTGCGGTAAACTTACCATGACCTGGAGGAAATTTTTTCCATTTAATGAGTGCAACTAGCTCATATATGGATAAAGTAGGCCACTCTTTGTAATACGGACACTTACGAATTAATTCCTCCTTTTGTTTATTTTCAAGTTTTGTTTGTTCCTGTAAAAAGTCATTATCAAATTTCCTAGATTAGATTACTTAAAAAGAAGGAAAAAAAGGATAGCAAATAGATTAATGGCAGTAAAAAAAATAAAAATGATATGAATGTAAATTAGTATAAAATGCATTTGGATTTTATAGGAGCATCACTCTATGATCACGTCACCAAATTGAATTTTTAATCTTCAGATCTGGTACTATTATTATATTTTCCCAACTTTCATAATACTTTTGGACTTCTATAAATGTTTTAGCATTTTTTAAAAAGGTGTCATACTCAAGACTAAACTCAAAAGTTGTATTTGATAATATCAAATAAGTGATACAAATATTTTGAAAACAAAAACAAAAAATACGTTTTTTTAAAAGCAAGCCACTCTGAAACCAGGAATTTGGAAGGAAGGTGAATTCTGAGAAAGTCATGGGCACCACTGGCACTGAGACCATTGTATCAAAAAAACCCCCATTAAAGACCTAAGTCAAGAAGATGGATGTGTCCTCACCTCCCTCCACCACAAGCGCCCGACTGTGGCTGATACCAGTGCCCTGTAGCACCGGCACCAGGTGCAACCCCATCACAAGCACAGCAGGACTAGGGAGGCCTCCCAGTCCCATGATTTCTGCAGACTTCCTCTGCCATCCAGGGGAAATAGGGGAAAGGGAAAATTTTGGATTTGACTAAAAGAGAATAAATTGTTCAACTTGAAGTAAATACGTTATCTTAACAGAATTCAGGGGTCAGAATTAAATTGTGATCACCTATTCATGCAGCCCTGGGTTGTGTTTTTTGTTATAACTATGAGATAGCCTGCCAATCACTCCCAAGTGTCTTTTTTGTTCCCCTAAGGTGGACCTTAGAGATTCAGAGATCTGTCTGTCTGATCGTTCTGGCATCCCTAATACATGATGTGCTGTTGACACTCAAAACATACATTTATTGAATGAATGAGTGAATTTTAAACACATGAAAAACCAAAAGCACTCAAAAACATTCATAAAATATATCCAGAGAGACCTTTCTTTCCACTTCAACTACCCATCACCATTAGAGGCTTAAGTGATGTCCATCAATAGACCACATTTTTATGGTCTCCAGGTCAAGTCAAATTAAAAAATAAAAGGAATATGGACATCTTCTGTTTAAAGAGGCAAAACTTAGCATGAATTTATACTCATATTGTGTTAATCTATAGATTAGATTTAGTCATACCGATTTTAACTTTGCATAATTCTTTGCAGATATTTTAAGAATTTCACAATCTTCTTCTATTACCACTGAGTACTTTGTTGCGGATTCCATGTGAGCTGTAACTTCCAAGGTTCCAAAGGTACTCCATTGTCTAAGCTGTAAAAACACCAAAGGCAACTTAAATTTCATTATTATTCATCAACATGAAAATACCAATGAGGGTAACAGAAGTCTGCAAAAGAGACAATTGCAGGTCAGGCTCCAAATCTATAAAGAAGAGGATCAGAACAGTCTTGCATGATGTCATACTTCTTCCGCCTAATGTCACTTCTCCAAAGCAAGAAAAAAATTTCCATTTTTTTCACTAGCATGAAGAAAATAACTTATAAGAATAGGTCTTCTGTTTTAGTCACTGATTCATTTAAGTACATAGCATTAAGTACATAGCATTCATTAAGTACTATGCTATGTAGTAGCCATCCAATAAATATTTGTTGAAAGAATGAATAAAATAGTACATCTATATACATGGTCTTCTGTTTATTTTATTATCCTCACATGTTGGTAATAATCATGAAATCATCAAATCCGTAAAAAGGCTGAATATTTTTCTTTTTAGCTGAATGGATAGCTGAGCTTGAATCTGCCAGTCCGGAAATAAAAAGGGAATTTAAACAGACACTACTGAAGCCAAAGTGATCCACAGCGACCTCAGAGTAAGATGAAGACCTCGGGGGTTGAGTCCTGGGCCTTGTCACACGTGGGAAGAGGAGACGAGCCTCAGGGCCACGCACGGTGAGGAAGTGGGATTGAGCCACCTTGCCTGAAGCCTGGGACCTCGGAGACTTGCCCCTTATATGAAATGGAGATGACAAAACTCCACGCACTAATCTAGGGTGGAACTGGGTACAATTGTCACAAAATCAGGATCCTAGGTCCACAACCTGTGTGGGTGCACACAGTACAGGACCCAAAGCAGAACAATTAATGTAAAGCCTGGTACACAACTGGAAAAAAACCAGGATCCAGGAAAGTGCAAACTTAAAACTCGATGTATGAATTCAGGAGAAAAAGAACTGCCATGGAATGCCATTCCTGCTGATAACATCATCACGATAAAAAACTACAATCCACGCCAGTGAACAAACCCCTATGAGGGAAAGTCAATAAACAAAGAACTAGAAAAAAAAAATTGAACCACCCGAAAGGAGCTATAGGCATTTAATACATTTAGACCATGAAACCAGAGCATGACCTTATGAAAGCAAAAAGAGGCATTTTGTGAAAAAAAAAAATTAAACTTCTATAAGTAAACAACAGAGTTATTGAGAGAAAAACTCAATGGACACATTGATTAGTAGATTAAAGGAAGAATTCATGACATGGATAAAATATGAGAAAATCATCCAGAATAAAACATATAAAACATAGAAGGAATAGAAATAAGGAGGAGATTTTAAGAGATATGGAAAATAAATGGAATATAGCAAAATAAACAGAGAATGCATATATCTACCAGGATTTCCAGAAGAAATTAAAAAGAATGGGAGAGAGGTGATAAGTGATAATGGCTGCAAATTTGCCAGAATTGAGGGGAGAGGCGGGTCTTGAAAATGAGGGAGCACCCAAAATCTGGATATATATTTGTGTTTTATACTTTGGCTCAGGTTTTGGTGTAGTCCCTTAATCTTTCTCCTCCAGATCTCCCTTCATCATCTTGTTAGTTATCAGTAAGTTCAGATGTTTTCTACATGTGTTTTTCCAAATCCTCTAATTGCTTTTGGTATGACTTAGTCTGAGTTACTCAATGAACAATTATGAAAGCAGAAGTCCTCCATGACTTGAATACCATTCTTAAGGCTTTCCTTCTTGATTCATTACCCAATGTCATCAGACTCCCTAATATTATTAGGAAAGTATTAAACTTCCAATACTCTTTACACAACCAATTATTTTAGCTGAATTATTTAAAAAATTAATTGATATTTATATTTCCATTCTGTTCAATAATTATGGTCATCTCCAAAGTGCTCAAAAAAAAAATAACCTTCCAACTGGAATTCTATATTTACTTAAAATAACAATATAGAGTGATGGTAAAACAACCAAGAGGTTAGTTTTAGACATTATGTGAAACAAATGACTGAAAGATGAATTTTACCTGGAACAATATTGAATTCAAAGAAAAGGAGTATAAATAAGTTGATTAAAAAATTGGTAAATGTAAATAGTGTTTATTGATATATAGTAACTTAAAAACGACTAATATGGGGTGCCTTTAAAATAAGACAGATTTAAAATACTTTTAAAACAGTAACTCAAAGACCGGAACAGGAAGAAAGAATTAAAATATTTGAGAATCTTGAGTCTGGCCCAGTGGCATAGCGGTTAAGTTTGCACGCTCTTCTTCAGAGGCCTAGGGTTTGCAGGTTCAGATCCCGGACATGGACCTACACACCGCTCATCAAGCCATGCTGTGGCGACATCCCATATACAAAATAGAGGAAAACTGGCACAGATGTTAGCTCAGGGACAATCTTCCTCAAGTAAAAAGAGGAAGATTGGCAACAGATGTTAGCTCGGGGCCAATCTTCCTCACCAAAAAAAAAAAAAAATTTTTTTTTTGAGAATCTTTACACTCTGGAACTAGGAAAGAAAAAGATTATATAGCTTTTCTTAGTTAAAACTGTAAATTTAATAACATAGAAATTGGAGTTTTGTAGATGGAAAAAGAAAACACGACACAAAAATAAAGTGATGAAATTTGCTATGTACCTAAAATATCTAATTAACATCTATAATTTGACTTAAAGAATAGGAACAACAACAAAAGCATATAATTATAGAAAATGACAAATTATTAAAAAAAAATAATTTCCAGGAGAGAACAACCAAACATACCACACAGAAAAGAAACACGCTCAACCTTACTAATAGACAGAGAAATGTACATGGCACACATTCATCCCTTGGCTTGAAAATATTAAAGTAATTTAACCTATGAAACCAGGGAAAAACTTCAGACATTACTCAAGAAACTGTAAAATCCCTTAAAAATGGGAAATAATCTGGCAGTATTTGCTAAAATAAAGAGTGCATGCAATACTTTATCCAGAAACCCGTCTCCTAGGAATTTACCCCCTAGAAATAATGCATTCTTAAGAACGTGTTTACAAGAAGCAGGTGGAAATGTATGTTGAGTCAATTTTTATAAGCTGAATAATTACAAAAGCAGTAATCTGTATAACTTTGTACAATGTTTTTATATGCTAGTGTCAGTTCAGAGAAAGATGTGCAAGTGTGGATACCAGGCTATTGAGGAGAGAGGCAGAGCTAAAATGATAAGAGACGTATTAACTTTTTCCTTAAACTTCTTTGCATTTTTTTTCAATGACAATAGTGAGTATGTATTAAATGTTAAGTTTTAGACACTTTTAAAGACTTTTTAAAATGCAGGTTCAAAACAACATCCCATGTTATTTTCCACACCTGTTACGTCTCTCAATATCCATATAATGATATATAAAGCTTCTTACATGATATACATCAAATGTTTACAGTGGTTATCTCTGGACGATGGAACTGCAGATAATTATCATTGTCTACTTTGTACCTCTCTGTATTTTCTGAATTTTTCCATAAATGTAGCAGTTTTGAAATCAGGCAACATTACAAAGCTATTTAAATGGCTTACAACGCAATCTTTTCTCAATTTTTTGGAAAATATCATACACTAAGGTTATGTAGACAATCCTATTTTGGAGGATATAGCTGGTGAAGTTGCACAAAAGAAACGGTTTCTCTCACTTCTAAATTTTCATGTCATTTTACTAAAAAATAAATTGATAGCTAACTTTATTGGGCAATGATGTATTCCCATGATTAAAAACTTTTAAACTTCTCTAATAATGCATGACCCAAACAATTTGCGTCTGAATGATCAGTGGTAAACCCATTAAGATTTCTTTTGAATAAAACATCACGTTGAGATTTGTTTTAAACTGCATTTACGACAATGAACTTTTCTGAAAAACAGGAGACTTTTATAGGTATCATTTTTGTTCTCCTTGTATTATTTTCCCATTGCTCCTAGCTTCTAGGCATTTACACATTAAACAATATCAATAACTAAAATTAGAGCTTCTATTTTTATTTTTTATTTATTTATTTATTTATTTTTTCTGAGGAAGATCAGCCCTGAGCTAACATCCATGCCAATCCTCCTCTTTTTGCTGAGGAAGACCGGCCCCGAGGCAACATCTATTGCCAATCCTCCTCTTTTTCTTTTTTCCCCTTTTGCTCCCCAAAGCCCCAGTAGATAGCCACTTGTCATAGTTGCACATCCTTCCAGTCGCTGCACGTGGGACGCCGCCTCAGCACGGCCCGACAAGCAGTGTGCCAGTGCGCGCCCAGGATCCGACCCCGGCCGCCAGCAGCAGAGCGCGCACCCAACCGCCAAGACACAGGCTGGCCCAAGAGCTGCTATTTTTAAACCAATGAAATGTCTTGTTCTTAACCCTGTGGAACATATTTTCTTTTTCTAAGGAGGTGAGAGAAAATACAAAACCTCTCCAGATCAGAGGTTAATAACCTAGTCCAAAGAAGGACCTTTAGAAGACTCTTAAACTCCTAATATGTTACGTCACCATGTGTGATTATGGATAAATTTCCATTTTTCTTGAATGAATTTCTATAGCTTTCATTAGATTCTCAAATGTGTCTGTGTCTCCAAAGAAAGTTAATAAGCACTGCTCCAGATAGGAAGATAGTACATTTCCCCTATAATTTAAACTGTAAGGGCTTTTGTAGAAAGTACATTCTCATAACCAAACAATGTCATACAACAAGAAAGGGATATGAGGATGTTGCTTTTTACAAACTTTCACATGCTTATGGAGGATTTGTGCCATACTAGGGCTATATCGTGATATCTAAAAGGTAGAAGCAAGAACTAACTGAATGTGAGGACAGTCTGATCAGGACCTAACTCATCCCATTGGCTGAGGGATTGGTCTGTGTGCCCAGATAAGAATTTCCCAGGTATTCATTTCAAAGATGTATGCTGAGTCAAAGAGGAAGACATTTCCAATGATAGGAAAAGAATTGATCTCTAAATATTATATGAATAACTATGCATTCTCTAAGTAAAACCTGTA